CCCGCCTGGAGCTAGCCCTGAGCACAGACCCAGGGGTAAGCCCTGAACACCACCGGGCATGGCCTAAAAACCAGAGGGGGGCAAAAGACGTAGAAAAAGCCAAACAAACAAAAAAACAATTTTCAAAGACCGGCTACTGAGGTCTGCTAACTTCACCAGGAGGCGACTCGGATGGGGCGGGGCCTCGTGGCGGAGGCAGGGCCTTGGGGCTGACCTCAGGGCGGGAGCGCAGGAAGGGCGGGGCCTCGGGAGGGGGCGTGGTCTCGGAGTGGGAAAGGCCGGCGGAGCGGCGGGGGCGGGGTCTGGAGCGGGACCTCGGGGCGGGGCGTGGTCTTGGAATGGGACGTCCGGCGGGCTAGGCGGGGGCGTGGCCTTGGGGGCGGGGCGGAGCCTCGGGCGGATGTGGTGGGGTCTCAGGGGGCGTGGCGCTGAGGGCGGGGCCTCGGGGGCGGGGCCCGGGGCGGGGCGGGGCGGGGCGGCGGGGCGGCCTCGGGGCCGGGCGGAGCTGGCCCTGCCCCGAGTGCGTTGGGAGCCTTCGGTGCCCGCGCTGGCAGCTCTCCGCATTCCTTCCAGCTAGTGCAGCTGCTTCTCCCGCCTTCCTTTCTGCTGTTTACGGACCCTGAACTAGCGTGGCCTCGAGGACCTGGTTGGTGAGAAACACAGCAAGGGTGCGGAGGGCCCTGGGTGATCTGGCTGGTGGACTCGGGCGGCGGCGGCGGGTGGACGGTCCCTGGGGCTCCCGGGGGGCTGCTTAAGTGCTAAGGGGAGTCTCTTCCCTTTGAGCCCCCGGAGCGGAGGCCGGGGCGCTGGCGCACAGTGCACATACCCTGCCTCTAGGTGTGGCAAAGATTGCCAGCCCCGAGACCGCGCTGCTTCCCGGGGGAATCGGTTGGGGAAGGACCAAGCCCCCTCCCAAGGGAGAGGAAAACGGGTACCGTCTCTCCCCGCCCTCTTCTGCACTGAGGACCCTCTTCCCGTCACTGCAGAGAGGGGTGCTCCGAGAACCAAAGATGAAGTCTTCTCCCCCAAGTGATAACCAGGAGCCGGGCCCGCTCCCGCGCCCTCCCGGACTCCCGTCTCTCCCTCTCTCCCCTCTCCCAGGCTCCCCCCAAAACTGGGCGCCTGCTCCCGGCCACGTCCCTAAGGGCTGAAAAAGAAGCGGGGTGGAGGCGGCTGGGTTGGCGGGGGGGGAGCGAGGCCCGAGGGACCCCGTAGCTGCTTTCCCCTAACTGGTATTGCGACCCTCCCCTTCGCAGCTGGAATGTTTGGGGAACCGTTTGCCGGGTGCTTGGTGGTCGGGGTTCCCTGGGCTCAGCCCCGCCGGGTGCGGGTGAGCGGAGAATTTCTGGGACGGGACGCGTGGGGTTGGTTGACGCTTGAGACTTCTCCGGGTCCGGGAGGGAGTGGCAAGGCGCCCGGGGATTGGCGGCTGGGTGCTTGGGATGAATGTGGCCCTGTGACTTCCCGAACCAGTCCTTGTGGCCCCGGGGTTTCCCACGCCCCCGGGACACCTGGAGGGGAGCTGGTCGCGTTTAGGCCTGCAGCGGAGATCAGATTAGGGAACCTCTCACCTTGGGCTGTGCCAGCTGCAGCCCAGTCACAAGAGGGTGGGTGGGTTAGTCCTTCCCGGCCAAAAGTGTACAGAGAGGGATTGTTAGTGGGGGATCTTTGGCCGGTTGATTAAAATGTGGACCCTGTCTGTAAAATCTTATCACACCGAAAGTTGTGTGTTCACGGGCTCACTGGATGGCTCTTTCTCACCGTCTGCATTCGGTGCTCTTGAGCCCTGCGTGTGCCTGGATCAGGACGGCTGTCCTTTCTCTCAAGCTTGAGCCCCTCTTGCTCTGACTCTGGATCTCTGGAACCCGAGCTCTCTCGCTTCTGACTCTCCTCCACCGAGCTTACCGTCTTAGTTTATATAGCAGTCACATATATAACAGATATAAACTTAGTTTGGTTCTTCCTGAGAACATCTCGCTATACATTCCGCAGTCCTCAGGCCAGGTTAATCTTCCTAGCCCCAGCAGGGTCCTAGTCTCGTTGTTACTTACTTTTGGATCATGACAGCATTTGTCCATGATCATGCCCTCAACTTATAGTTGAGTATCGTGGCTCTTTGGCCTGGCCCATTTCGATGCCAGGGTAGCTCACAGCTTGCCCTGGGTCTATTCAGTCCCTCGTCAGGACCTTGCTTTTGGGGTGCTAGGAACTAAGGGCAACTGAGTCAAGAAATCAGATGCCCAGGAGTAAATATTATTCGGAGTCAATCGACTCCCAAGTTACAAAGCATAATACTAACTGTCTTCCTGTGTCCACACAGAAAGGACATTGCTTACAATACAAGTTCAGTGTCCTTAGATGGGTGTGACCTGACAAACTTAAGCTACCTGAGGAAGGACAAAAGAGTGTTATCCTACACCTGTCGATTTTAGTAATTGATTTCCCAACCTTATACCTCATTACTTTGTAGGGTTTTCCATGTAGGATATACAATCACTGTGTCACTGTCAACTGTCATCCCGTTGTTCATCGATTTACTCCAGCAGGCACCAGTACGGGCTCCATTCCCCAGCCCTGAGATTTTAGCAGCCTCTCCTTACTGATCCTTCCCAATGCTGCCCTATTGGAGGCTCTTTCAGGCTCAGAGGAATGAGACCTGTTATTATTACTGGCTTGGGCATATGAATACACCATGTGGAGCTTGCCAGGCTCTGCCGCGTGGGCGGGATACTCTTGGTAGCTTCCCACGCTTTCCGAGAGGCATATATGTATTTCCCTCTATGATTTGTTGCCTACTGTCTGAACCCCATCAAATATGGTGTGGTTATTATGGAGAATGGGTAGGGAGTGTCTTATGATGTGTCACGCGGATATACAATATGGTAATTAAATGTGAAACTGTTCATTTTGTCCACTGTGACGGTTGGATTTTGAGGCTCAGAAGTTCTGTTGCAAAGAAGTGGAAAATTGCACTTTGCAGCCATTTGGCTATCTGGGAAATATAAAAGGTAAAGGTAAAAGGTAAAGGCCCTCCCGTTGATCGTCGATTTGCTCGAGCGGACCCAGTAACGTCTCCATTGGAGACTTTGTTGTTACTGTGTCTGGCATATCGAATACTCTCGGTAGCTTGCCGGGCTCTCCGAGAGGGGCGGAGGAATCGAACTCGGGTCGGCCATGTTGGCCGCTTGTTAGGCAAACGCCCTACCGCTGTGCTATCGCTCCAGCCCCTGGTTTACTCCAGCATATATATCTGGGAAATATAATATATATATAATATGTTATATATAAATATATGGGCTGGAGCGATAGCACAACATGGCCGACCCAAGTTCAATTCTTCCGCCCCTCTTGGAGAGCCCGGCTAGCTACCGAGAGTATCTCGCCTGCACGGCAAGCCTGGCAAGCTACCTGTGACATATTTGATATGCCGAACACAGTAACAAGTCTCACAGTATTACTGGGCCCGCTCAAGAAAATCGATGAACAATGGGAGGACAGTGACAGTGACAGTGATATATATATATATATAATTATGTTTTTGTTTATATGAAACTCCAACAAGGAGAAAAATGGGGGTGGCTGATTTAACAAATTGCACTGATTAGAAATAAATACATTTATGAGGTTGGAACAGAAGTCCAGGCTTGTGGCATGGTCTGTTCTGGAGATTGTTGACTCTTTCAGGGGAAAGAGACTTAGGCAAGTAGAGAAGGAATGATTTATGGCACAGTGTAACTGAGAGTCACCCTGTTTGGTGTGGGTAGTAAATGAATCTCCCAGGGTCATTGATCAAGAGGCTTAGTGAGGTATGGCAAGGGTAGTAGACTTAATCAGTTTTCTTCTGTGTTTTCAGCATTTTGTTAGACTAAAAATAAAAATTAGCTCTCAGACATATCACTGACCACAAATGTTTGTTATTTATCCTTCTAGATGTGTTACTATGAACTGTATGAATAAAATATGGGCATGAGCAGAGGCTCTGACCCAAGTGAACAGGGTCAAAGCAGGGGGGCTTGGGGAGGATTAAGAAAATAAGACAAAAGAGGTGGAGAGATTGTTGAGAGCATTGGGCACATGCTTTGGGCCACCCAACCTGAGTTCAATCCCCAGTACTCCAGTTCTGCCTGGAGTAATATCTGATTGCAGAGCCAGGAATGAACCCTGAGCACCATTTGGTGTGGCCCAAAAGGAAAATTAAGAAAACAGAAAGAACTAAGAGAAAAGGCCTGGGGTTCACTGGGCTAACAGCCAGACATTTGGACTGAGAGCCCCAAATGTCCTTCATGTATAATATTAACTGCTTTGATTCAAGAATCATTAGAGGGAGAACAACATTCTTTGATCTTAATCTAACTGGGCTAAAATTCACTTCATACTGGAGGGTCTCAATGTATTGGGTCAAAGGTCTTTGTTGTGGGCTTGTCTAAAGGGATTATATCTGGGGAGCAAAACCGATAAGCTTTGGACCCCTTTGCCTGGGCCCTTGCTTCCTTGGTTTTCCACTTCAATACCAGCAGTCTGGATTTCTCCCAGTATCTGCCTATTCTGCCTTTTCCCTCATTCCTTCATAATACCCTTAGTCCCCAAGAGGTATTTATGTGTATGACACTACAAAATACTTTTATTACTTTTATCACTAAACAAATAGCTATACTATCATTTTAATGACTATACAATTCTACATTGTATGATATATCATTTTTGCATCAATTTTCTATAGGCAGTCAGCTTCTTTCCAACATTTTGCTATTATTATGTAGCTAATAAACAAATGTAAATTATAAATTCTTTTGATATGTTTTAATAGACCTGTTTGATTATTTTCTTTAGATTTCCAGAAAATCAGCTGTTAATGAAGGTGTATGCAGTTTGAAATTTTGATAGCTCTTGTCAAATTACCTTCCTGAAACTAATTGTTGAACAAGTAAGTGAAGATGCTTACTTGGTTTAAGCAAGTAGCTTAAGGTAAATTATTTTTTTTCTCTTCAGTCATAGCAAAAGAACACAATGGTCTGAGAGATTGCATTGTTTCCTGCTCTAAAGAGTGTACTGATAGAAGAATTTTTCCCTAAAGAGACTAAAGTGGGTTCCAGGATGTTGAAAGGAGAATTCCCCAGTGCCTCAAAGGACTTGGAAGAGATGCAGAAGAAGCTATGTCTGCTGATAGAGTCCTTCCAGGCTCACTCAAAGGTCAGTTTGCAATCAATATATCTAGTGCAAAATCACCATTGAAAGTTTTTTCTCTCTCAAGCAGAAGAAAATTGGAGGCTGACTTGGACTCTTTCCTCTTCACTGCCCTGCCGGTCTGAGTTGTAACCTTCAAACTCACTGTCCAAGATACCCATTAGAGCATCGACCCTCTTGTCCTTATTGTAGGCACGAAGGTGGAGGAGTGAGGGGGGGAAAGACTTCACCTCCGTTTTTGTTTTAGTTTTGGTTTTTTTGCTTTTTGGGTTATAGAGGTAATCCACTAAATCTTCCATGAAACATGCCAGAAATCTAGACTTTTGTGGGAAATAGCACATTGGGGGGAAAAAAAATCATAATTTTCAACATGGTAACCTAAAGACTGGTACTTTCCAACCAGTTTTTTTTCTTTTTTTGGGGGGGGGTCATACCCGGCAATGCACAGGGGTTACTCCTGACTCATGCACTCAGGAGTTACTCCTGGCGGTGCTCGAGGGACCATATGGGATGTTGGGAATCAAACCAGGGTCGGCTGCGTGCAAAGCAAATGCCCTACCTTCTGTGCTATCACTCCAGCCCCCTTCACCTCCATATTTAAGGAGACTTCTTGAAAGTCATACACATTCCACTTCCAATTATATTTCTTGGATCAAAATTATTAACCATTTGTCATTGGTTCTAGGTTCTATGTCCATTAGTTACTCATGAATATATGCATGCATATATAACAAGATGGATTTTGTGGGACTGTGGAGAGGCACAGTGGAGGGTGTTTTCCATGAATACTGCTGCAGTGCAGTGTGCTCTGTAGAGACTTTACTGGGCTCATCCCAAAATGCCTTTGGCACTAGGTGGATACAGCCTGCTATTTTTAAATCGGCTTGATTTCTAGTTATCTAGTTAGATGATTCCAGCTAAAGTAGCCTTTTCATCAGGAGGCCGAGAGACTCTCATTACTAAGAGTCAGCTCATAAAGAAGGGTCTTTATGCCATCTACAGGTTCAGTTACTTTTCAGGATTTGTCTCAATTATGTTTTGTCAAGTCACCTTGAAAACCGATACAGCAAATGCTGAACCATTGCTTCTAGGGTAGTATAGGATTAAGTTTTTCTGCCAAATTTCTGTTCCCAATACTTTAGTCAGCCTATCAGTTTATTACCTATTTTACGTGTATTTCTTGGCCGACCCGAGTTTGATTCCTCCGCCCCTCTCGGAGAGCCCAGCAGGCTACCGAGAGTATTCGATATGCCAGACACAGTAACAACAAAGTCTCCAATGGAGACGTTACTGGGCCCGCTCGAGCAAATCGACGATCAACGGGAGGGCCTTTACCTTTACCTTTACCCTTACGTGTATTTCTATTTAAGACACCTCGTTTAGTTTTTATGGTCAGTTAACATTAAGGACCTCCAGCACTTCAGCTCATGCCTGAATAAAGCTAGTTTAGTTTAATTGAAAAAAAATCACCAATAAAAATTATAAATGCTGGGGGAAAGATGGCACAAAGTAAAGTTGTTTAAAAAGCTGAAATAAGACTGCAGAGAACGTTCCCTTATCAGATTTCAGCAGGGAAATTGCATGTGAGGTGACTCAAATACTTTGCTGCTATACACATGTCCGAAAGCATGGCCGAGACGGCTTTGGGATTGACAGATAAATCTTAGTGGGTAGGCAAATTCACAGAGTGGAATCCACAAATGGTAAGGATTGACTATATATTAACTTACGTTGACCACATTAGAAGCTAAGCGTTATGTCAATCACTGAACATGTCTTACTCAGTATTCATAGCCACTCTCAAGGATTTCAAGCTTATGACCGCTGGCATTTCTTCAATTCATTTTAGATTCTCATCTAGGTTTACCGGAATAGATTTGGGGCTAGATAATTTGTAAGCCAGCCAACTCATACCCTGATGGGGCAGATTACTATTTGGCTAAATACCATTGTTTTCAGATACTTCATATACTCCACCTTCTGCTGCTTAGATACTGATCCCTGAAGTAGTCTTATGCCATGTGTAAACTAAGTGTGTATTCATTGGATTTGTATCATATGAATTGAAACATTCCTATTAACTATTAGCAGAGACTTGCATTGGAGGAAAGTAGGATCACTTGCGAACTCATCACCAGCAAATACGGTCATTCCCCATTAATGTATCACGATCACGATCATCCTGTTGTTCGTCGATTGCCTCAAACAGGCACCAGTAACGTCTCCTTCTTCCTAGCCCTGAGATTTTAAAAGAACCATATTCAGTGCTCTTTCAGGGCTAGGAGAAAGAGACCCATCATTGTTACTGGTATTTGGCATATTAAATACGACATGGGACGTTTGCCAGACTCTGCTGTGCGGGCAGGATACTTTCGGTAGCCTGCCAGGTTCTCCAAAGGAAAAATGAGATAATAAGATAATAAGCTTCCGGGAGCTGGGTTTTATAGTCTGCTTCTTGGCCGTTGATGGGACCAATCTGGCACTGGCGGCAGCTGGTGGGTGTGACGCCTACCTACTGGAAGATGGGGGATCTGGGTGGAGAAGGCCCAGTCCCAATCCGAGTAGGCTTGGAGATCTCAGCCCCGGGACCCACATGCCTGGGTTCCTCTGCCAGTTCCTTCATGCATGAGGCTTGTCTGGACGTGTGGAGAGTGGTCTCAGCATGACTGTGGCTGGTTCTGGAGGTCTTCAGCTGCTGGGGCTCTACTTGGGGGATGGGGGGGAGGGAAATTCAACCCGCCTCCCTCCAAGGGGCCCCGGTGAGGACAGCCAGGCACGGGGGCAGGAGACTCTGTATAACTTATACAGTTATGTATAACTTATGTATAACTTATACAGTTACTATTTATAATCTTGGCAGATGTAGTTCTATATGTTGTTTGACATTATTTCTTGGTATTTTTCCATATTGACATGTAAATCTTCAGAATGTTTGCCTTTTGGGGCAAAAGAAACCTCCAATCAGATTGCCATAATTTATGTAATCATTGCATAGGTTTTCCCCAAAATTATTTGGTCTATTGCTGCTTTGTCAAAAACAATTACTCAACACCCCTGGAAAATATACCTTCTCTAAGCAAATGAACAGAATCTCCCCCTGACCCCCAGTTGAAACTTTGGCTCCTACAATAGCTCCTCTGAATCCTTACAGTGGCCCCTGGAGGGGGTGGTTATCACTCGATTTCTGGCATTTTAAGTGACTTCTTGTTAAAGTTAGTCTTTAACTTCCCCCATAGATATTAATGAGCCACTTGAATTCAAGATAAGGATGAATAGGCCTCCAAATGCTGTGTTTGTGAAACCACTCCATCATCTCTTCTAAGAGCTTTCTGGAATGTGTTATCCAATCTTTTAGTTGTCTTACTTTCATGGTGAGAGTCAGGAGTTGCTTGAGGAACCAAATAGTGGGTCCTGCAGAAACTTGGGGAATTGTCTTTTCGAAACCAGAAGCAGGAAGTGAAGCAGGGCAGAGCCTTCGAAGGGATCAGACACAGGAGATCAGACACAGGAGAGCCTTTCATTGGGGGCTCTCCTGTGTCTCTGCTTAATTGGTTCTCTCCGTTCCTTCATTCATGTGAGTAGTTATGATCTCAGATTGGTCCCTTCAATTCTGAGTTCCCTCAACTCAACAACTGAAGCCCTGAAGCCATTTGAAGATCCAGATCTGGAGTGACCATTTCTAAGAGCAAGAGACTTGACCAAGTCCCTGTGGCCAGGGAGGCGGCAGCTAGGCTGGTTCTTTCCACATTGTTAATATAAACACAGGCTGTTGCAAGGGGGGGGGGGGCAGAGTGATAGTACGATGGGGAGGGCGTTTGCCTTGCATGCAGCCCACCTGGGTTTAATCCCGGCATCCCATATGGTCTCCCAAGCACCTGCCAGGAGTAATTCCTGAGTGCAGAGCCAGGAGTAACCCCTAAGCATCAATGGGGGATGAACCAAAAAGCAAAAATACAAAACAAAACAAAGCACAGACTGTCTTCAGAACATGATGTGCGAGTGCCAAGTTGGAGGCAGGACCTGGGACCCTGGTGAAGGGAACTTGACACTGGTGGTGGAATTGGGTTGGAACTTGTCAGTATGCCTGAAACTTAGCTTGATAACTTTGTAAATCATGGTGCCTTAATAAAAAAAAATAATTTAAGAAAAGTTATTTTTTTCTAATGAGGTGGCAGTTGTTCCAAACTTTTGACATCAGAAATAAAAAGGTGTAGTTCTGAATACATTTTACCCCTTGATGCTGTATGAATCTAGATCAGCCATTTATGTCCTTGTGTCTCAAGCTTGAGTGTATCTATAGAACACCTAGGGAACTCACCAGAAAGCAGTCTGACTCGGTAGGTCTGGCACAGGGTCTGAGTGTCTTTACTTGCTTTTTTGAGGGTGTCAGGGAGACTGGGAGTTTGAGGGTCACACCCTGTGGTATTTAAAGCTTACTCCTGGCTTGGTGCTCAGGGATCATGTCAGCAGTGTGTGGGGGACCCTCTGAGGAGCCAAGGGGTCAATCCAGGGTTGGCCTGGTGCAAGACAAGTGCCTCACCCCCTAAGTTTCTGCATTTCTAATAAGCTCCCACATGACAGGATTTAATAAGCATTAACCTTCTGTGCCTCAGCGGCATAGCCCCTTTTCTTGTCTTCATTGCCTCAGTTATGAAGAAGGCAGCCAGTTGTGGGTACTTGGCCTCAGTATGTATGCACGTTTGCAGAGAGGGTGTGTGTTAGGTGGTTGAGCCATGATGAAACTTTTCCCACAGACAAGACAGGGTGGGCCCCCACCAGCCTGCCATCTGTCAGTTGCCTCCTGAGTCACTGTTGGGCTGTTATTCAGAACCTGGGAGCATTGTCATGGCACTGAGTCCTGAGGAGCCTTCCCACTTTCGGCCTCCGGGCCAATTTCCGACTCAGGTGGCTTCACCTGCATGGACAGGATATTCAGTCCTGGCTCTTTGCCCTCTGCCCACAGGTGGTCTCCTTTATGAAGTCGCCAGTGGGCCAGTACCTGGACAGGCACCCTTTCCTGGCCCTCGCCTTGCTGGTGTTTGTCGCTGTGTCTGCCATTCCCATTGGATTCTTCCTGTTCCTCGTGATGCTCACCTCACTGGCTGCGTTTGTGGGTGTCATCCTACTGGAAGGTACCCACCTGATGACTCACACTCTTGGAGAATAACTTCTTTGGGAGGATAGTATTTATTGGATGCCTGGCACTTTCATGAAAGGTTCCTGGTTTTGTCATAATCACCTTGACCAGGGCAGCAGATCACTCTCAGTAGGGCTTAAGGGACCCTAAGGGGTGCGTGGGTTCGAACCTGGGTTGACCACATGCAAGGCAGGTGTCCTGCCCGCTGACTATACTATCACTCCAGCCTGAGTTAAGATTTTTTTTAAAATATCTCTATTAAAAGGTAGCACATTTGTTCATATATTGTATCTTCTTTTCCGGGGTCCACCCTTCAAACTATACAGTGGCCATGGAGATGGGCAACTGAAGGGCTTGTTTATTCCTGAGACTTAGAGCATTTGTCATGTCATTAGTCTGACATTGATAGGTAACAGAAATTTTGTTATCAGAGGGGCAGGGAAATCTGCACCTGGCAGACAAAAGCTACCACAGTCCATCACATAGGGTAAGTCCTTTAATTGTCAACCTAACACTTAGATGTAGCTACTATTGTATCTTTTTACAGAGGACTTACCCTACAGCCGCAGGAGACTTTCATATCACACAGCAAATGACTTAAGGAGGTTCAAACTGAGGCACATCTGCTTTGAAAGTCCTGATCTTCCCTTTGTATACATATCACTGCCCCCCGCCCCCCCCCCACCGCCCCTTAGACCATTACCAAAAACATAGTGGTAATCCACTAAAACTTCCATGAAACGTGCCAGAAATCTAGACTTTTGTGGGAAATATCACTTTGGGGGAAGAAAATCATCATTTTTAAACATGGTAACCTAGGGACTGGTAGTTTCCAACCAGTTTTAAAGGAATGATTTTGTGACCGTGTTTTCCTCTAGGGCTGGTCATCTCAGTGGGTGGCCTCTCATTGCTTTGTGTCCTCTGTGGCTTGTGCTTCGTGTCCTTTGTCCTATCGGGGACCGTCATAGTGTCCTACGTGGTGACCTCCAGCCTCATCAACTACTGGTTTTCTCCGAAGTAAGTATATGTCAATGCAACAATTTTTCCTTTGTGGGGAGCTTCTCACAAATAGCCCCCCAAACTGGAGCAATAGTACAGTAGGTAGGGTGTTTGTCTTGCACACAGCCGACCCGGGTTCTATTCCCAGCATCCCATATGGTCCCCTGAACACTGCCGGGAGTAATTCCCAAGTGCAAAGCCAGGAGTAACCCCTGTGCATTGCCGGGTGTGACTAAGTCCAGTGTCTAGAAGCAATATACTGTAAAAGGTAGGTAGGTTTCGTGTTTCCAATACACTGTGGCCAATGGAGTCTTACAAGGAGCTTTGAATGAAACTGTTGCTGCCGTGGATTGTGCCACCTATGAGTTGGCCTGGCCACACTGCACGATAACCATTAATCACGTAGCATTAGTCATGTTACAGGGGCTGGAGAGATAGTACAGTAGGTATGGCTTTTGCCTTGCACATGGCCAACCTGAGTCCAATCTCCGGCATCCCAGATTGTGTAGTCACAGAATAAATGAGAGATCTGCTATGGTGGCGTTCTCTCTCTCTCTCCCACCCGCCACCTGCGTTAGGTGGCATGAGCCGCTTCCCCGCCCGCCTGTAGCCGCCGCCAACAGACCAATAGACACATGAAGGAGGGAACAGGGCCACCAGGCTGATTGGTGATCCGTTGCCGTTTATTCCATTCTCCCCACGCATCTGTTCCAGTCTCACTAAGTGCCCCAACCCAGTCTCACACTGCCCCTCATTCCCGTCTCCAGTGCCAATGCTCCTCTGTCTCCGCCCTCTGTCTCACAGCCTTAGTCTTGCGCCCAGCCTCCAGCATTGGGGTAGCAGTTACACACAGGTGAGGCAGCACGATCAATTTATATGAAGGCCCTTCCTTCCAGGGAAGCTCTTCTTTTTGTTAGGACTTTAACGATCACTTAATCACTTAATCACTTAACTTCCCGTTAGTCGTCGATTTGCTCGAGCGGGCGCCAGTAACGTCTCCATTTGTCCCTGTCGCGTGCTAGTGTAGCCCAATGGCATCTCTTCGCTCCGGGAACATGGAGGGCCTCAAACCGATCGTTCATGACCTTGACAAAGAAGTCTGACCATCTGGTAGGTGGGCGGCCACGCGGTCTCTTGACATCCCGTGGAATCCAATCAGTAACAGCTCTAGTCCAACGGTCGTCTTTAAATCTCATTACGTGACCAGCCCATCTGATTTTCGACACCTTGGCAAATGAGACAGCGTCCCTGATCCTTGATCGTCGACGGATGTCAGAACTCCGGATTCGTTCTCTCATTTGAGTGAAACGTGATATTCCAAGCATAGCTCTTTCTATTCTTCTTTGGGAGACCTGAATGGCGTTCTCATCTTGTTTGCGTAGGGCCCAGGTCTCTGAGGCATATGTTAATGCAGGAAGAACAGTGGAATCAAAGAGATGTGCCCGGAGCCGGAGGTTCTTCGTCCTCTTAGCTATTTCTTCGACGTTCTTGAAGGCATTCCAAGCCGCTCTCTTCCTCCTGCGCAGCTCGGGTGCCAGGTCATTTGTCATGTTGACCTCTCGACCTAGGTACACATAGCTGTTGCATTCGGAGATGGTCGTTCCATTGAGAGCGAATGGGGCGTCAGGAACAAGGCTGTTTCTCATAAACATTGTCTTCGTAAGATTCAGCTGTAGTCCTACCTTTCCACACTCACGGTCAAAGTCGGCCAGCATTTGTGCCGCTTGGCTGATGTTTGGTGTTATTAAAACAATGTCATCAGCAAAGCGGAGGTGGTGTAGTTGCCGACCATCTATCTTCACTCCCATTCCTTCCCATTCCAGTCGTCGCATGATGTTCTCGAGGGTGGCACTGAAGAGTTTCGGTGAAATGGTATCACCCTGCCGCACCCCTCTCTTGACATCAACGATCACTTCTTTGTAGAATGGTGAGATCCTGGTAGTGAATCCGCAATACAGCTCACGGAGGATCCTGATGTATTGGGCTTGAATGCCCTGATTGACTAGGGCTTCAATGACCGCTTCCGTCTCAACAGAATCAAAGGCCTTCTTTAAATCAATGAACGTTAAGCAGAGCGGCATCTTGAACTCCCGAGAAACCTCAATGAGTTTGGTTATCGTGTGGATATGGTCGATGGTGCTGAATCCTTTGCGGAACCCTGCTTGCTCACATGGTTGTCCTTCATCTAGTGTTCTGCCAATCCTATTCAGGATGACTCGAGTGAACAACTTTAACGATATATATAACAATAACTGATAAATCTGATTATGCAAGTGGCCTTGTTAAAATAACGTGATTCGTACTTTAAGTTGCTCATTTCCTGCTTAAATATAAACCTCTCCTGCAGCCAGGAGATCCGCTCAAAGGCCAAATACGATGTAGGGTTTTTTTTCTCCTTTCCTTAGTCCAATAACCATTTAAACATTCATCTTAATTCTACTTCTTAATAGCCGTTTTATGGACACAGTAAGGGGTACATTAAGCTTATAGGTGGCTCTCTTGGGGCCATCTCGCTATAGATCTCAGACTACAGTGCTCAGGCTAGATTAGTCTTTCCTAACTCTAAGCAGGGTCCTTATCCAGTTGTTAGTTACTCTTTGGATCATGAAAGAATTTGTTCATGACCATGCTCTTAACACTGGCTCACTGGCCCAACATTTTCTAAAATTAACATGCCCGAGTAATTTTCAAGTTAATGTTTGAAATGAAAAATAAAGTCATATTAAAAATCCTCTTGAAGTATATAAATATATATGTATGTATATATATATATATATATATATATATATAATTTTGTCTTTTGAGGGGCAATACCTAGCCAGTGGTCCTGGCACAGTTGCTCAGGGTCTTTCCCAGGGCTGCTCTGAGGACCAGATAGTGGCAGAGATACAAACTCCCACGTGTAAAACAGACACTTTAGCCCTTTGCACCATCTCCCCAGCCTACAGGCGCTAGATTATTAACAGGCATAGGATCTTCTAGTCATTTCAACATAGCAAGCTTCCCCTCCAGGATTCGGCGCTCTTAACTTATAGTTAAGTATTATGGTGCTTGGTCTGGCTCGTTTCGATACCAGGGTAGCTCACAGCTTGCCCTGCGTTCATCCAGTCCCTTGTCGGAACCTGCTTTTGGGGTACTAGGAACTAAGGGCAACTGAGGTTTAAGTTGAGAAAGCAGATGCTCAGGAGTGAATATATTTGGGGTCAATTAACTTTCAAGTTACAAAAGCACAGCATGAAGTGTCCTCTTGTGTCTCAACAAAAAGGACATTGCTCTGAAGTAGTAGTAAAGTAAAGTAAAGTAGTAAAGGCCCTCCCGTTGATCATCGATTTGCTCGAGCGGGCCCAGTAACGTCTCCATTGGAGACTTTGTTGTTACTGTGTCTGGCATATCGAATACTCTCGGTAGCTTGCCGGGCTCTCCGAGAGGGGCGGAGGAATCGAACTCGGGTCGGCCATGTTGGCTGCGTGCAAGGCAGACACCCTACCCGCTGTGCTCTGAAGTAAGCTATGCAAAAGGACATAAGAGAAGGAGAAAAGCAATATTTCACTTACAAATATAAAAGCAGAGATTTCTGAGGAATATGACTTTATAAGTCACAGGTACTGATTAGGGGGAAATGGTGGTTAACTCCTTGGGGAAGAGAGCACTGAAAAGAGGTTAAAGATCAACACACAAGAATGGGAGTGCCCCGGGGGCACTGTGATGGGTGTAACCCAATAAACCTAAGCTCCTTGCAGCCTGGGAGAAAGACAAGCCAATTTATCCTATACCATATGGTCCCCCCCAGCACCAGCACTGAGAGTGGTTCCTAAGTGCAGAGTCAGGAATGCTATGTCTGACCAAAAACTAAACGGACATATTCCTTTAAAAATTTCAGGGGCTGGAGCGATAGATAGCACAGCAGGTAGAGCGTTTGCCTTGCACATGGCCAACCCGGATTTGATTCCCAGCATCCCATATGGTCCCCCAAGCAGTGCCAGGAGTGATTCCTGAATGCATGCATAACCCCTGTGCATCGCCAGGTATGCCCCAAAAAGAAAAAAAAAAGTGTTTTAGCTTATGAGAATGCAAATTAAAACAGGAGAACATCAAGCCACTGGTTTACCAGGTCCCCGTAGTGGGGACGCAGGACCCTTGACTCTGCTCTTCCCGCAAGTCTGCCCTTGACCTCCTGTCACTATGATGAGTGTGACTTTCATTCCTGAACGCACGGCTTTCTCCTCATTGTGGCTCCTCAGTGCCAGCCCCTTCATCTGGGGCTTTGAGTCAAGGAACAGTGGCATGTTTAAATGCTGGAGGGGAAGCTTGCTATGTTGAAATGACTAGAAGATCCTATGCCTGTTAATAATCTAGCGCCTGTAGGCTGGGGAGATGGTGCAAAGGGCTAAAGTGTCTGTTTTACACGTGGGAGTTTGTATCTCTGCCACTATCTGGTCCTCAGAGCAGCCCTGGGAAAGACCCTGAGCAACTGTGCCAGGACCACTGGCTAGGTATAGCCCCCCAAAAGACAAAATTATATATATATATATATATATACATACATATATATTTATATACTTCAAGAGGATTTTTAATATGACTTTATTTTTCATTTCAAACATTAACTTGAAAATTACTCGGGCATGTTAATTTTAGAAAATGTTGGGCCAGTGAGCCAGTGTAGCCATAATACGCTTGCTTTGCATGCAGGTGACCCACGTTTGATTCCCAGCACCCCATATGGTCCATTAAACACCGTCAGGAGTGATCCCCGAGTGCAGAGCCAGGAGTAAGCCCTGAGCACTGCTGGATATGACCCCAACTTATAGAAAATGTGGACAACAGGAGTTGGAGTGATAGTACATTTGCCTTGCATGCAGCCAACCCAGATTCTATTCCCAGCATCCTGAGCACTGCCAGGAGTAATTCCTGAGTGCATGAGCCAGGAATAAACCCTGTGCATCTCCAGGTGTGACCCAAAAAGAAAAAAAAATGTGGACAACAATAGGTATCTCCCCAATTTGATCTTTTCCGAGAGGCTTTTGTAATTTTTTTTTTTTGGTACCTTACTGGTTTTAGAGTCTTTCTTCTTTTCCATTGCTAGGAGAAACACAGGGCTGCTCACGTGCACGGCATGTACTCCTCTGCTAAGCCACAGCCAGCCTGTTTGAGAATCATGAGTAAGAGTGACGCGAGGGTGCTTGTTTGAAACTCCCATTAAAACGATGAAAGTGACTGATACACATCCAGCTCTTGCTCTGTGCCAGGGACTCTCACATATTTTCCAGGCAATAGTCTGTACAGCAGTTTCTTGTTTGACAGTGTTTTGTTCATCAGTTTTGTTAAAACCAGAAGTCCCCAAACTTATTTGGCCAGCTACCAAAATTAAAAAAAGGTGCTCAGCCTCTTCTGGAAATCTGCCTACTTTTTTTTTGGCTTTTCGCGATGCTCAGGGGTTACTCCTGGCTCTGCCCTCGGGAATCATTCCTGGCAGTGCTTGGGGGTAACTTCTCTGTTCTGAGTTTTCATTTATGAGCAAAATAGGCCTGCTCCCCCATGCTGCCTTTCTCCAACCACATGCAGGAGAAAAATATCAATGTCTGAATTGGAACAGGGGAAAGCTGACCTCACTCATTTTCACCATCTCTGCCTTTCTTCTCTGAAACTGGTGCGACCCCAAGTTGGTCGAGGTTGCAGTCTTTAATTTTTTTTTAATTTATTTTTTTTTTTACAGTTGTAGATTTACAATTTTTTGTGCTTGGGTTTCAATTATACAATGATCAGATACCCATTCCTCCACCAGTGCCCGTTTTTCACCACCATGGATAATATCCCTCCCACCCCCATCCCCCTATCCCCCCCGTCTCTGTGGCAGGGCAATCCCCTGTGTTCTCTCTCTCCGTTTGGGTGTTGTGGTCTGCAAAAGAGGCATTGAGTGGCAAACATGTTCAGTCCATAGTCTACTTTCGACATGCATCTCCCCTCCTGGGAGGATCCTCCAAACATCCTTTATTTGGTGCTCCCTTCTCTATCTGAACTGCCCTTTCCTCTAGGATACCCGGCTGGCCTCTAAGTTATGGAGTAATCATCCTGGTGCTGATCTCAGCTATTCTTGGGTATTAATCTCATACTTTGTTACTTTATATCCCCCAGATGAATGCAATCTTTCTATGTCTATCCCTCTCTTTCTGACTCATTTCGCTTAGCATGATACTTTCCATATTGTACCACTTGTATGTAAATTTCATGACTTCATCTTTTCTAAGAGCTACATAGTACTCCATTGTGTAGATGTACCAAAGTTTCTTTAACCAGTCATCTGTTCTTGGGCATTCAGGTTTCTTCCAGTTTCTGGCTATTGTAAAGAGTGCTGCAATGAACAAACAAGTGCAGATGTCACTTCGACTATACATTTTTGCCTCTCTGGGATATATTCCCAGGAGTGGTATTGCTGGTTGACCTAACTCTTTTCCTGCTCTTCACAGACCTTGGTTACAACAGAAAGCCGGTGACAACAATCCGCCAGCTGGAAATTCCGCAGACTTAGAAGAGAGCTACGGGGAGTGACCGCCAGAGGGAACCCGAGCTGCTCCCCTGGCACCGTGGCTGGCTGCTGATTCTTTCCCATCCCCTGCGGAGTCTGGGGCTGGACAGCCAAGCACCCCTGGGAAGCATCCTTCCGCCTTGCTTATGGGATGACGCAGCGGCTGGTATCAGGAATTGTTGACAGCTCGGAAACTGGCTGCTCCTGTGTTTCCGTCGGGCCTCCCTGGCTTGCAGAGTGAGACCCATGATCTTGCCCTCGCAAATCTGTGCCCCAGGGGTGCTTTGGGGATCCATGATGAACTGGTTTTCCCTACTTTTAATAATAAACTTGAAATAGTAATATGCTTTGGAAGTAAGAGATATGAGGGTTAGATGGGGGGATTTAAACCAGACAGCGCTATTGGTCTTTTTAAAGACCAGCACACTTTGGAAATTATGGCCTCAGATAAGAGACGATGTCTAAGTCCAAACTTTTAATTTTATAGCCAGAAGCATTTTTTTAAAAAAAGTCTAAAGATACAATTTCCACTGTTGAGTACTGTTAAGTACAGTTACTTTTTAAAATATTTGTACTTGGGCTGGAGCAATAGCATAGCGGCTAGGGCATTTGCCTTGCACACGGCCGATATGGCCGACCCGAGTTCTATTCCTGCGACCCTCTCGGAGAGCCCGACAAGCTATCGAGAGTATCTTGCCCACCCAGCAAAGCTTGGCAAGCTGCCCGTGATGTATTCGATATGCCAAACACAGTAACAATCGTCACAATGGAGACGTTACTGGGCCCACTTGAGCAAATCGATGAACAACGGGAGGACAGTGACAGTGACTTTTGTATTGCTTTGAAGAACATGTAAGCCACTGGATTATGAAAATACTCCAAGTTTTATGGGGGAAAATGTTATTTCAAGAGATTTCTATTCTATTGGCTTATTTGCTATGGAATTGTGTGAAATAAATATTTATTTAGAGAAACTTCCTCTCCCCCTCCCCCTTACTCTTCATTTCTTCCAACCTCCTACCCTCTTTGATATCAGAGCTGCCTTTTTCTTCTTTGTTGATCTCATGGTAAATCCTGAGTAATATTATTTTTAGTCATTAGTGATAAGCGTTGAACTCGAAGTGGCTCCGAGGTGGACTGAGGAGGAGGGGTGCATCTTACTTAACTCAGAAACCAATGTCTGGACCCAAAGACTCAGTGACATCATTAGGTTTGTTTGTTTAATTCCCTTCCTCTCAGTTCTGCCTATCTCTGTGTGAGCTGAGCTGATTTTTTTTGCGGGGGTGGGGGCAGGCTCTTCCCACAGGCAGATCCCAGAACTCCTAGCTTTTCTTTTCACACACTTGGTTTTGATTTGGGGGTCACACCCAGCTGTGCTCAGGGCTTATTCCTGCTTCTGCGCACAGGGATCACTTCTGGCAGGGCTTGGGGTAGTGCAAGAGGATGGAACACAAGTGGCAGGTCAGTTGCATGCAAGACAAGCACCTTCCCTGCTGTCCCATCTCTCCAGGCACCAGGAGTTATAGTCTTACCTCAGCTTTATAGTGAGGACTTCCCACAGGGAAAGAAAGTTGCTCTTTTTTTCAATCAGACATAGAGATGTTCTGGTATTGGTTCTGGTGTGAACAGACTTAGATCCCGTGAGCAAGAAGAATGGAATTTGCTCATAGGGCAGGTCCAGGACCTGTGTATTTTCAAGAACCCCAGTGGGAAGATGGGGCAGGAGGGCAGGTCAAGACTACTCATTCCATATAAGGTAAGGAGGCAAAGGAATTTCAGAAAAACAGGAAAATGTTTTTTGAGAAGACAAAAGCCAAATACTTGCAACTTGCTATAGTTGACCATGAAGGACTAGTTGACCCTGGAACTTTCAGCATTATCCCATGCGAGTTAGCTGCAATGTCACCAAGTGCGGCTTCACTTCTGTTAAATATCAAGAACTGCCTATTTCTGCCAGAACAGAGATATGAACTAGATGCAGTTACTACTTACTGAATATCTCTTTTCTTTATACTAAGTGTCTGGACATCTGTATTGTCTATGTAGCAGGGTTTTCTTTTGTTGCCTTGTGGGTCACCCCCAGCGATGCTCAGGGGTTACTCCTGGCTCTGCATTCAATAATTACTCATGGCAGTGCTCCGGGGATCATATGGGATGCCAGGAATCGAACCCAGTCAGCCGCATGCAAAGCAAACCCCCTACTTGTACAAACGTTCCAGTCTCCCATTTGGGTTCTGAGACTGAATGAAGAAGGAAAAGGTTTCTGGCTTTGGGGAGTTTACTCTTTAAGGCAAGAGTCAATAAACATTTGTTTGTCTGTTGCTATGCAATAATTCCTTACAAACTATTATAAGAGCCTTCAACCAAGCCGAAAGATTTTAACTCACGGAAGCTCAGCAGCTTTTTAGCAATAGCGGGTAGGGCGTTTGCCTTGCAAGCGGCCAACATGGCCGACCCAAGTTCGATTCCTCCGCCCCTCTTGGAGAGCCTGGCAAGCTACCGAGAGTATCTCGCCCGCACGGCAGAGCCTGGCAAGCTACCCGTGACGTATTCTGTATGCCAAACACAGTAACAACGAAGTCTCCAATGGAGACGTTACTGGGCCTGCTCGAGAAAATGATGAACAACGGGATGACAGTGACAGTGCTTTATTGCACTGTAACGCCTGAGTTCACCAGGATTTGCACACTTGGCTGTATGCACCAGAGATAGGACTTTGTTGTGGATCCCCAGAGATCACAAATAGCAGTGCCTCCAAAATGGCACTGGGCACGAGTGGGTGCTGGGAAGCAAACGGAAACCTAGTGTTTGAGTCCGTTTGAGTCAGTGGCACTGTTTCCTAAGAGAAGGGGTCAAGAAGCTTGCTGGCTTAGGGAATTGGTCTGGCCTGGGAATATAAGATTTTGGAGTATTTTCAGAGCTGAGAACTTCACAGAGGCTTTCTTTAGAGGATCCCAAGAGTAGCCAAGATCATTTTAAAACATGTTGCTGATCTTACTTCAAACTGAAAAGTAAAAGGTGCTTGCCCAGTGCATTGTATAACATATTAGCTTTCCCCTCATAAATTACCGTTGCTTTTCTGGTTTTTCCTACTTCATCAGACTCTGGATTTTTAAGCAAAATAAAAGCGCAGAGGGGCTGGAGCTATAGCACAGCAGGTAGGGCGTTTGCCTTGCACACAGCCAACCTGGGTTTGATTCCCAGCATCCCATATGGTCCCCTGAGCACTGCCAGGGGTAATTCCTGAGTGCAGAACCAGGAGTAACTCCTGTGCATTGCTGGGTGTGACCCAAAAAAGAAAAACAAATTAAAAAATAAAAATAAAGACACAGAACTTAAACAACTCTGTTCTGCAATTCTGACTGAATCGGTGACTTTGTTCATCAATCCTGTCGAGAAATGTGGCCTCTATATCAGGACTTTGCAATGCAAACTACGATTCTATCCAGGACCCTTTGTCATTCAAACAGCACGGCAATGTCAGAAGCACAGATCTACCACCAAATAGGCCCAGTAAGCATAAGTGTTAGACCGCCAGGTGTGCCATTATTCAAAAGTGAGTAGAGCAGAGACAGGTAAAAGACCTATTATGCAATTCAGGCTATGGGTGAAAGCCGCTGTTGGCCTTTAGACACGTTTCACTGTGTGCCTTGTTTGAAGAGGTAATAAATCTGCCGAGAAGGAAAACTGAATTTGAACAGTCAAAATGTCCCTTTATCTGTGTGTAGGCGTTGGGATGGGCTAAATAACAAACACAGAACTTTCACTTAAAACCTGTTGTATTTCCATGGGCTGGGGTAAAGGTGGCGCTAGAGAGAATAACTGGCCAAATTTGAACACTGACGTGGCTCTGTCCACACATGTTGCCCGAGGTGTCTCAAAGACGACAAACTACTTGCAGCGAGTTGCAGAATGCGTAGGTCCCTCTATGAGGACCTTTAAAAAAATATTCCTATTCCTGCCATATGGACTTGTGCTGGTCCTTGCTTTCATTTCCTCATTACCTCTGTGCAGGTAGAAGCAGAGTCTATTTTCCTTTCATGTTGTTTCATTGGCTAGAGCGATAGCACAGCGGTAGGGCGTTTGCCTTGCGCGCAGTCAGCCCTGCCGGGCTGGGTTCGATTCCTTCGCCCTTTTAGGAGAGCCTGGCAAGCTGCCGAGAGTATCACGCAAAGCCAGGCAAGCTACCAGTGTCATATTCGATATGCCAAAGACAGTAACAAGTCTCAAAATGGAGACATGAACTGGGCCTGCTCAAGCAAATCAATGAACAACCGGAGGACAGTGACAGTATTGTTTCATTAGCACCAGCTTCAGTGCTCTGTGCATAGCAGGTGCTCATGATATCTCTAGGCCAAATAAGCAGATCAAAAGGAGAATATTCTGCATTTTTTTTTACCTGTACCAGAGCACCTCCCAAATGCATGGGAGGTGTACACACACATGAAAAATTCACTAAATATGCATTTGAACACAGCAAAAAATAATATCCTGGCTTTTTATTAAACAAGTGCAAACATTTACATGTGTGTACACGCACAAACACATACACCCTAAGTGATTGTTAAGAGCTGTGATAATTATGAATTATTCAAATGCCTTTCTAGATGGCAAGGAGGAAGGGAAAGATTATAGTAATGGTCATCTAGATGTGATAGCATGCCTCTTGTATGCAATGCTATGCTGAATATCATGCTTTGTGTGGTAGAAAAGTTGAAATCCACTTCCCATACCTCCTTTTCCAACTATCACGATCAAGACCATCCTGTTGTTCGTCGATTGCCTCGAGCAGGCCCCAGTAACGTCTCCTTCGTCCTAGCCCTGAGATTTTTTTTTAAAGTGCCATATTCAAGGCTCTTTCAGGGTTAGGAGAATGAGACCCATCATTGTTGCTGGTATTTGGCATATTGGGTATACCACGGGGAGTTTGCCAGACTCTGCCGTGTGGGCAGGTTACATTCAGTAGCCTGCCAGTTTGTCCAAAGTAGGAATGAGATGATAAAATGTCGCGCTTCCGGGAGCTGAGTGTGATAATCTCTGGATCCTGGCCGTTGTTGGAGTTACACGGCAGTTGGTGGGTGTAACTGTCTAGTTACTGGCAGGTCCAGTCCCAAACCGTGCAGGCTTGGAGATTTCAGCCCCGGGTCCCACACACCTGGGTTCCTCTGCCAGTTCTTTTATGCGTGAGGCTCATCCAAGTGTGTGGAGAGTGGTCCCAGCATGGCCTTGGCTGGGGCCCGCAGGTCTTCAGCTGTTGGGCCCTAGTGCAGACAGTCAGGCACAGGGTAGGAGACTCTGCCTTGTTCTCTCCAACTATATCCACCCTTTATAATGCAGCCCAGACTCATCCCTCTGGGAAGTCTTAGAATGTCTATGAATACCTCTGTACACTTACTGACACTGGGAAAGCTAGAGACAACCTCTCATGATTTGACTTACTCTATAAAGAGAATAATATCCTCCAATTTCTGAGTCTTTAGGAAATTGTATAAATTATCTCTAAATCATAAATGTCTTAAAACA